GAGAGAGAGAGAGAGTTTCTTTTGAATTAGTTTCTTCTAGTGAATTAGTTTCTTATAGTGAATAAAAAGTTCTTGTATGACTCGGGAATCACCTGAGTCAGATGGGACCAGGACATTAGCGATTTGGGGCCAAAATTTCTAGTTTGTAATTTTTACCCGGACAGGTGCTGGAATAGTGGGAGTCTGACCGGGGGAAGCAGAATCGTACCCTGCCAATTCATAGCTTGATCCGATATTTGAATAACTGGTTAATTATATGTACATTGGGGTGGGTTGTCTGTCAATATGTGTGATATGAGGATTGCTACGATGGTTGATATTTCCAGAGGCTCATTTGTCTTCTTTCTTTGTTGTTTCTAAGGTTCTGCTCCATCGCCTTCTTCATGTTAACCTTGTGTAGGATATGATAAATTTCTATAGCCTCTGCTTTATGTGATAAATTTCCTTCCTTTTTTGGCAGTTCTTGTTAGTTCTAACAAATAATTGAAATTGGCACAATTGGAGTCATTTCCTTGCACAACATCCTCAACTTATCTCGCATGTGAGGACCAAGTTTCGGCCGATCTTTTTGCAGTGTTTGAACGTTCAACATCCTCTTGAACTAATAGTAATAGCAATGTCAATAACAGTAATAATGTTGACACCAATATACCTAAGCCTCCTCCACTCCCTTCTTCTCTTGGTTATTCTAAGACCCATGATCCTTCCAATAGAAGGCGCTCAGGTTACAGTTGTGTCCCAAAAGAAACAAAGAACACATGGGAGAGGTTGTTTGAAGAAGGGTACAGAGCTGATGTTCATATTCTAACTGATGACAAGGCCGTCATCTCTTCGCACTCAAACATTCTTGTAAGTGCAATCATTCCTCATTTTTGTTGTGCTGATAAGATGTCTTGCATTTTTTAATCTAGAATCCATTGGTCTTGTGAATCATCTGCTAAATAATACAAATTATTTGATTTTGCATAAAATGATTGTATAACATATTTGTTCTGGTGAAAGTCACCAAAGAATAAGCTAAATCACTCGCCTAATTGAGTGGTAATTTGGAATTCAAAATCCAAGACCTTGTTTCTTGACTTTCCTAGATGTTATAATCTTTCTCTTTGTAAGGTAGAAGATTTAAGATGAATATGTAAAAGTGATCCCTAATTCTTAAGTGATGGTGATGCCCTTTGATTATTTCTTTAATTGTATTGCCTACTGAATTTGCCTGAGGTTCATGAATAGTTAAACCATTATTCCCATTGTCCTTATGTATTCGAGTGAAATCTGCAAGTAAGTTCTGAGGCCAATAAAGAAGAGAGTCCTAGAGACAAATGCTCAATATACACCTGGTTAAAGAAGATTTTGAATACTACTAGTGCCATCAAAGAGAGAGAACTACAAGAAATATATGTACTGGCTCAATATGGTTTAGAAGATTAATGTAAAACATTTGGATATTTTGTTGTCGAGTTTCACTCGATATGTGGATGACGAAGCAATTGGGCATTGTTTCAGAGCAAGTTACAACTTTGGAGGAGAAGATTGAAGCCATTTTAACTGACTTTGAGCTCAGATTCTCATTGTCATCTTTCTTTTCTTTGCTTGTATTGTGTTTTGTGAATAACCATTGTATATCCTATGCAACTTCCAAATATTAATAAAATGGGAATGTTTTGCCACTTGTTTTACTACCTCAACTTCGTTTTTTTTTCCCAAATATTAAGTGCTCATTGTCAATGACTTTGGTCCAATCTAGAATGTCCAATTGACAAGATGTAGAGAGAGAGACCATCCACACTCATGATACTTGAAGGTGGAGGCTAAGATATACACATAAAAGTTCAGCATGTAATTCTCATTCTCTATGGTTTTTCTATAGACTGGCAACACAACACAAAAAAATTGCTAGTGCCATTTACAAGTGTTAAGCAGCCCACAAAGAAGTTGCTCTATACAAAAACCCGCAAAAGGGCTCAAAAAATGCTTTACATCCAAAATATAAATAAAAAGTTTAGATATAAATAAATGGGGGACCATATGCTAAAAAACGTGCTAAAAAAACTCCCATGTTTGTTGTCTTGTGTTGCTCCTCTTTAGCGAGAACATTGGATGCTGAGCTGGGCTCTCTCAATGAGTAACTTCATAACAAAAGTGGGACTTATCCACAAAGGTCAGAACAAAATGTTGTAGTTGCATCAAACTGCATGTAAAGGGTAAAAAACCATCACCAAGCAAATATATAATAGGTTATCACTAAGAGGTTCCAAATGTCGTGGCCAAAATCTATCAAGTTAAAAGACAAAATAACTTGTCATACAAGTGGTGAGAGTAAGAAAAAAAAGTAGATAAAAAGAGTACAAGGTAATCAATATTTACAACATAATCAATATTTTACCCTTGCAATGTGTGAATCACTACTTTTTGTTAATGAACAAGTGCATGAATTATGTCCCACTTTGTTGCACATATGGCATGTAACAAGCTTCCGCGGCTTCTTTTTTGATGGTGCTTTAATTCTTATGGTTGAGGGGCTGCCCTTTGTTGTTGCCAGTAATGGGTTTTGCAATATAATATCACTTGTTGAACAATCTAGATTTATTTCACTTGTTGACGTAGCTACTCCCATGTTACTTTCATTGCCCATAGTGCAAACTTGTGTTGCATTTTCACTACTTTCATCATGGATAGCTCTTTGCCTCAATTCTTGAAATCCTAACAACACCACATCAAAAACACGTGTAGATTTTGCCCCAATCTCTGCAATGTTAATTGCTTCGCGACTTAAATAGTTGAATCATGAGAATAGAGAATCCATGGAATTTCCCATCACTCCTTTGTTATGCTCAATTAATAAAGCCCATTTCTTGGCATTTCTTGTCCATCGCCTCAAAATGTATTGGGATGGGATTTCTTGAACATGTTCACGATGCAAAACGACTAACATATGTCTACAAAGGTACTCAGAAAAGTCAAACAATTTACAGCTACAAGTTGCTTCAGTTACTACGAATTCTTTGCTATTTTTTTCATATGCGATCAACTTGTTTGTGTTGATTGACCCATCCTCCCCAATTTTATTTATCACAATTGATATCACTTCATCCAGTTCCTTTTGAAACTTAAGGAACACTGTCATGATATAAGCATCTGCTGCTTGTTTCTCCATAAGTAGTATTGTGTTCAAAGTTGGTGTAGAATAAGAAGTGAGATAATCTAAATAGGATTCATCGTTGTAATGATGATCAAGAGCTTCTTCATATTTAAGAACAAATTCTTGCAGGGTAGTTTGAGGGTTAAAAAACCCATGAAAAAAAATGGTTCATACTTTCACTTCGCTGGGTAGTCGAGCAATTTGCAAAGAATGTACCACGCCAGTGGACTGGTATCCATTGATGTCGAATATCACATAATGATGGTAACCAGTTATTTTCCTTCAGCTCATAATTATCAATAAACAATCCCTATGAGCTCTCGAACTCTTCAATTGTTTTGGTCCAAATACAATTGAGGAACTCCCTTACAGAAGTAGGATGTTTTGCACAAATGCTACCCAACTTCTCATTGACCTTTTTTAAGATGTGCCATTTGCAAAATCTGTGGACAACGTTCGGGAATACACTAGCAATAGCTCCTTGCATGGCCTTGTCTTGGTCGGTAATTATTGTAATTGGATGTTTGCCATGCATTGCTAAAAGCCAAACAAATGATGATTCAGTTTCATCTCCTAAAAGTGCACACCCAAATAAGGTAGAATTTGTATGGTGGTTGATTCCAGTAAAAAGGGCAAAAGGCATTTTAAACCTATTAGTCTTATAGGTTGTGTCAAAAATCACTACATCCCCAAAACATTGATATGCATTCCTTGACCTAGCATCAACCCAAAAAATATTTGCTAAATGGACATTGTCAGTTATATCATTTGCATAAAAGAAGGAAGGATTTTCACTTTGCATGCGCTTTAAATAATTTAAGAGAAATTGAGCATTATCGTCAAGACTTTTCTTTTTAAGCTTTTTGAGCTCATTTCTATAATCACGATCCATTAGGCCTAAATTACAGTCTCCACCAAATTCTACTCTAAAGACATTCATAATCTTTTTAGTAGAAATCCCGGCGTTATGAAAAGTATCTATAATACTTCTCTTACATTCAGAAACAGCCTGATGTGATCGGAGGCAACGAACCTTACTTGGGCTCACAAACACTTGATTGTGGTCTCTCTCAAACCGTGTAACAATCCAATTATCAATATTCTTCTTACATATTTTCATCATTGCTTTGCAACCAACTTTTGTGTCTGGTACCTTCCGAGTAGCTTTTCCAATATCAACTTTCCTTGAACGAAATCCTTCTCTTGAATATAAAAATTTATGAGAGCGCATGACCCCATCATGTTGTGTTTTTTTTGTATTCCCCATGTGCATACTAAATCCCAATCGCCTTGCATATTCATTATATAGTAATTTGCATATTCATTATATAGTAATTTTGCTTCTTCTTCAGATGAAAATTCTATACCCATAAATGGCTCGCAACCCATATTTCCTTCATTTGTATTGGGGCTTCCCATTCTTCCATTTTCATCTTCCTCATTGCAAGTGTTTATAACACTGACCTCCTTAGAATCATCATTATTGTTCCCTTTTAATGATCAACCAACTTATGGCACCAACGCCATTGTGTTCACGGACAATGACATCCCAGCCAGCTTCAACTGCTTTCATGTTCAACCTCTGATCATTATTTCATACATGGATACGAGATATGGAGAGTGCTTGTTGATAATGGGGCATCCTTAAACATATGCCCCATGAAAACAATGAAGTAGATAAGCAAAAGCCCGGATGACTTCGAGCCATGTCAACTAACTATCGTCGCATACGACGGGACCAAGAGACAAGCTGAAGGCATACTACCGCTCACACGCAAGATCGGCCCTATCGTCCAAGGGATAAAGTTTTACATCTTGGACATAAAACCTTCATTGAACATACTGTTAGGAAGACCATGGCTGCATGAAAATCTCATGGTCGCCTCTACATTTCATCAATACCTCAAATTTCTGACTAAAAATGGTGTCGCGAAGGTATGTGTTGAACCCCCTTCTTTCCTCAATCCTAGTATAGGTAATAGGAAGGTAGCCGTCGGGGTTGAGCTTGGAGAAATCCTTCTCACTTCTTTCGAATGAGCCGATTGTGCCAACTTACACCTAGAGGCGCAACCCTGTTCTCAAAATCTTGCAAACTTCTGCATCGATGGATGACATTATTTAATGTCAACATCGATACGGTTTCTGGTCCCTCGAAGCTTGGCACATGCTATTCTTTCAAGGCTTCCAAGCATGCCAAGGCTTGGGGAGTCAAGGGTAAGGCGTAACAGAGGCAATTTCTGAATCACCCCAAGCCAAAATTGAAAACGGGGATCGAAGAGGACTTAGGTGTCCTCTCACCTTATTTCGAAGCCAAATGAAGCCTTCAAGCTATCCGGGTTTTGTATCTGGAGGCATTCAAAGCCTCGATCCTCTCAATGCCCATCCTTCAAAATGGTCAAAGGTGATCCTTGATTCCCCAACGATCAGGAATTCTTCTTCCACACCTCAGCACACACAAGAACTAGGAATTGAAGTCCTTTTTGCTGACTTGGATTTGAAGGTATGTACAATCGACTCTAACCCAGCCAAACGTGCTCATCCATGTCTTCAAACGTAGGAACGAAATTAGTCAATCATTCCTCTATCTTGAGAATCACTGGAAGCATACCAGCGATACCTTCAAGTCCCAGTGCCGAAAAAGGGATAGGCGTAGGGTGGCTAGGTGGCCACCCTTCACGACTAGTCCCCAACATATCTCTCGCGAGTCCCATAAGGGACACCTCTTGTGTTATTTCAAAAACCATTGAAAATTCAAAACGTGATAAAATTGATAATAAGGAAAAAGAATTTTTAAAAACAGCGAGCACTCAAAATAGCTCAATAATGGTACATAATACCCAAGTCGACGAATTGGACGACCAAGACGAAGATCAAGAGAGCCAAGAGTCTAAAGAAATCCCTCAACCTAAGGAACTCACTTCTCATGTTGAGTAATTCAAGAAGAGGTTCGATGCTGACCCAATATCTATCATCGAAGAGACAATTGACGTAAACTTATGAACTGAGAAGGACCCAAGGTTTACCAAGGTTCGAACCTCCCTATCTCCTAAGGAGCAGGAAAATATGATTTCCTTTCTCAAGAAATATCGTGATGTCTTCCCCTAGTCATACGATGTTATGCCAAGGCTAGATCCCACATTGGTACAACATCTCCTAATATTCAACGAAGGGACAAAGCCTGGAAGGAAGAAACTCTGACGTCAAAAGACCCACCTTGAGCTCAAAATTAAGGAAGAATTTGATAAACTGCTCAAGACAAATTTCATTACCCTCGTCGATTACTCAGAATGGTTGGCCAACATAGTGGTCGTACCCAAGAAAGGCAGGAGAATACGAGTGTGTGTCGACTAGAGAGACCTCAACAAGGCATGTCCCAAAGACAATTTCCCATTACCAAACATAGATGCTTGGTCGAAAACACTATGGGGCATGAGATGTTGTCATTCATGGACAACTTCTCGGGTTACAACCAGATCCTCATGGCAGAAGAAGACCAAACCAAGACTTCATTCATAACGTAATGGGGAACCTACTACTACTGTCTCATACCCTTTGGCCTAAAAAATGTAGGGGCAACTTATCAACGGGCAATGACTAGCATCTTCCATGACTTAATGCACACCATCATGGACGACTATGTCGACGACATTCTAGTCAAGTCGAAGGCCAGGTTTGACCATCTCACCAACTTGAGAACCATTTTTTAAAGACTTCGGAAACATCAACTCAAACTCAATCCTTAAAAATGTGCCTTTGGAGTTGAATCCAGCAAGTTACTGTGTTTTATAGTAAGTCAAAGGGGCATTAAGGTGGACCTGTCCAAAATACGAGCCATCATGAAATGCCCCCTCCTCGGCTTCAAGGGAGCATACAAGCCATAAGGAGTTTTATTTCACAATTGGCAGACAAGTGCGCTCTGATCAATAGGATTCTTAAGAAGGATGCCCCATTCATATAGGATAATGAATGCCAAGAAGCGTTTGATCAAATCAAGGAGTACCTCACCAAAACCTCCCGTCCTTAGTCCTCATAATCCAGAGAAACTCTTATTCATATACATATCTGTGAAAGACAAGACCATGGGGGCAATGTTAGAATAGTACGATGAACATGGAAAAGAACAAATGATATACTATATCAGTAAAACCATGGTCAACTCTGAGACATGATACATAGACGTGGAGAAGCATTGCTTGACGCTTGTGTGGGCCATGCAGAAGTTAAGACACTATGTCTTATCTCGTACAGTCAATCTTATCTAAAAAATTGACCCGCTCAAGTACCTATTGGAGAGACCAATCCTTAACAAACGTTTGGCGAAGTGGAGAATGCTATTGAGCGAGTTTGAGATCGAATATGTTACTCAAAAATCGATCAAAGGACAAGCCATTGCTGACCACTTGGCTGAACACGCACTGCTTGATAACACTCCCGTCAACACAAATCTCCCTGATGAGAATCTCTTCACAATTGAGGACTCAATTCGGGAGCTATACTTCAACAATGCAAGGAATGAATACGGGTCAGGTATAGGTATCATACTATGCTCCCTTGAGAAGGTTTTAATGCCAACAACCATCAGATTGAATTTCCATGTACCAATAACATTGTTGAATATGAAGCCTTGATAGCCAAGATCGAGAACGATATGGGAATGAAAATCCAGCAAATACGAGTCATTGGTGACTCCTTACTCATTATAAACTAAGTTTAAGGGATTTCGAAAGTGAAAGAAGAAAATCTCAAACCCTATCAAGAAAAGGTGGAAAAGTAAATCCCATATTTTAAGAAAATCACCTTTAAGCACGTAACTAGGGAAAATAATCAGTTCGCTGACACCCTTGCGACCCATGCTTCAATGGTTGATATTCCTTCAGAATCACCACACTCCCATTCTCCATCAGGAACAAACAAACATGGTCCTTCTCCACCAAGTATCGAAGAAGAAATGGAGCAAGAAAATGAGAATGATGGGGAAGTGTCTCTCCTAGTTTCAGATGTGCTAGTTTCAGATGTGCTATTTAGCCAGAAATCGATCAAGTACTGACAGAGTTTCACAATGAAGGAGGTCATTCTGCGGCAACCTCCTTAGCTCAAAAAATCAGGCGCCAAGGCTATTACTAGACCACCATGGCTGAAGATTGTTGGAAGTTCATCAAGAGGTGTCCCCAAATGTTAACTTTATGGATACCTCATCCATGCACTGTCTGTACGCTAAACTCAACACCGCCCTATGGCCCTTTGCTATGTGGGGTCTTGATATCATCGGAATGATCTAACCAAAAGCCTTAAACAACCATCGTTTTATATTAACGGCTATAGAGTACTTCACAAATGGGTAGAGGCCACATTATTTATCAATATTGAGGGACAACATGTTGCCCGTTTCATAAAGAACAACATCATATTCAGATTCTTTGTTTCTGAGTCAATCATTACTAACAATGGATCTAACTTCAAAAATGAAAAGGTCACTAAGGTGTGTAAAAAGTTTGGGATAACGTAAAAATTCTCCACGCCTTACTGCCCTCAAGGAAATGGACAATAGGAGGCCACAAATAAAGGACTTCTCAGAATTGTAGATAAAATAATAGAACATGGCAAAGATTGGCACGAAAAGCTAAATAACGCTCGGACAACTGAGAAGACTCCTATTGACGTGACCCCATACTCATTGGTGTATGGTATGGAAGCAGTGCTACCCATTGAAGTTGAGATATTGCCTCTCAAAGTGCTTATTAACAAAAAGTCAGATGAGGAACAAAAGATTGAAGCACGAATCGCTGCCCTCGATACTCTGAATGAAAGATGACTACGAGAAACACAAAATTCCGTTGCTTACCAGTGTAGAATCGAGAGGGCATACCAAAGAAAAGTTCCTCGACAATTCACTGAAGGGGACATCTCAAGAAAATATTCCAAACTCCTGCAAATCCACACCTTTTAGGCAAGTTCAAACCTAATTGGAAGGGGCCATTCATCGTTACATGAGTGCACGCAAACAATTCTTACAAAATCAAAAATTAAGAGGGGTACAAACTCAACGACCCCATTAATGTGATGTATCTCAGAAAATACTACTTGTAAAAGGCTCAAGAGCGTGGCGAAAAACCTGAAAAGGCATCACAGAAAAAAAGAATGAAAAAATCTCCAAGAAGGAGCTTCCAATTCAAATGCTCATGAACAAAAAAGTACTTGCAAGTTCCAACAATACTGCACAAGCAGACCCTG